GTGTGTGTGTGTGTGTGTGTGTGTGTGGTGTGGTATGTGTGAGGTGGGGGGTGTGTTGTGTGTGGGGGGTGTGGTGTCTGGTGTCTGGTGTGTTTGTGGGTTTGGTGTATAGTGTGGTTTGTGTATGGGTATGTGTAGTGTTTGTGGTGTATGTGGTGTGTGTGTGGTGTGTGTGAGGTGTGGGTTGTGTGGGGGGGTGTGGGGTTTGTGTGTGTGTTGTGTGAGGTACGGGGTGTGTGGTGTGTGTGAGGTGTGGGTGTGTGGTGTGTGTGAGGTGTGGGGTGTGTATAGAGTGGTGCAGTATGTGTGTGGGGGGGCGTTCAAAGTGCGTCTCGAGGTAAGAGACATTGCCACAAGTAAAGAAGGAACGTTCATCATGATATAGCAATAAGTGCACCAGAAAAATCCAGTAATTCTAAATTTCCATGCATCTAATAACAGGGCCCCAAGATACAAAAAGTAAAAGTTGACAGAACTAAATAGAAAAACACACAAATCAATCATTAAGGGCAATTTTAACCCAGGAACTGAAAGACTGAACAGCAGGGCCTGCCAGTCTGAGGCACTGATGCGTCTGGGCCGTGTACCCAGCAATCGGGCCCAGCCTGTGCCCTGGCGGGCTGGGCTGGACGCAGCTCCAACTTCTAGGAACTGCCATCTGGCAAAGCAGCAGCCAGAGAAGCCATCAACTGGCCTGGAGACACCCCAGAGGAGCACTCTTCCAGGCAGCTCACGATCAAAGCAGAAACACAGTGGACGTTAGAAACTCTCGCCCACGGGCCTTCTCAGCCCTGGCTCTGGCCCGGGCAGCCCTGGAGCAGTGGGACCCCCATGTTCACAGGTGATGGGGCCTCCACAGCCAGTAAAAAGGACCCAGGACAGGCCCGGGTTTGGGAGGGAGCACTGGTCCTAACAGCAGCCACTGTCACCTCCATCTCTGAGTGACCAAGTGACTGCACCAGTAAGATGGGGTCCTGGATGGGCAGAGGCTCCTGCTCAGAACCTTCTCGGGTAACAGCGGAGGCGTGACCTCCAGGGCAGAGCCCAGAGCTGTGAGCACTTGGGGACCCGTCAGGTTTCCAGGGGAGAAGGTAAACGCAAGAAAGAGAAAGGGTTGCTTAACTCTGTTCACAGAATCACAGCTGTAAATGGGACGTGTTTTAAGCATCCGGCTCAAGAAGTTAGAAAATGAGCAGCAAACTTAATTTGATAAAAATAGATGAGAAGAAATATTAAAGATCAGAAATAAATGAAGAAAAATTATGTTTTCTATATGTACAAAACAGGAAAGATCAAGAAAGTCAAAAAAATCAAAAATTAATTCTTTGGAAAGGCTAGTAGTACTTGCACACCTCTGTCAAGACTGATAAAGCAAGAAGGAACGAGGACTTCAGAGCAGGGCTCGTCCATGGCTGGTGAGTGGCCTCCACCGAGCCTGGCAACGGCGTCTCCAGTGGGCAAGTGCTGAGGTGCCAGGCCAGGCCACTGCTCTGCACCGAGACGGGCAAGGAGAAGGCATGAAAGGAGGCACATTTGGAAAGAAGAAAAAAGAGCTTGTTTTTTAACGTAAACAACCCAAAAGGACTGACAGATGCACTGTCAGAATTAATGAGCAAATTTACCAAGGTCGCTAGATATCAGGGCAATTTAGAAAAATCAATGACTTGTCATAAACAATTACAAACGAAACTTTATTAAAAAGGCACCCCTCACGCGAACATCAAAAAATGTCAGTCACCTAGGAACGAATGTAATAAAATGTGTGCAGAGTTTCTACACAAAGAAATGCCAAGTTACTGAAGGCAACGAAGGGAGACTTATGTGAAGGGGGAGGCTACAGGCGGACGAGGCAGGCGAGGCTGGAAGATGTCATCCCGCCAGACCCCGGCCCACACCTCGCTCCCTCCCCGCAGGGCAGTTCCCATTTGACCTGCTTCGCTTGGAGGCTGAAATGAAGGTGCGTGAGGGCCTGGGGGGCTGGGGGAGGGGGCTGCCTGCGCTCCCGGCGTCAGACCCTTCTGTCTGCCCACCCCCAGGAGGGCGCCGGCCCCAGGGGTCCCTGGCTCAGTGTGGCAGCAGGGAGCTGAGCCCCATCCTGTGGGTGAGCAGCTGGCAGGGCCCGGCCAGCCTGGGCTCCAGGAGATTCCAGCTGCCTTGCCCTGGCTTGGGAGGGACTGCGAGGCCTCCCTGTGGCTTGTGGGGGTCAGTGCCCCCCGCTGCCCCTCCCCACCCAGCAGCGAGAGCTGGGCTGTCTCAGACAAGTGTTTCCATCCACAGGGGGAGAAGGGGGACCGAGGAGCTGCCGGACAGAAAGGCGAAAGGGGCGAGCCCGGGG